GAACAATTATAATATTAAAATAATATAATAACATTATTAAACTTTTAACTATTTGTTTTAATCATTTTTTCAAGTTAAGAACTTATTATTAAATATTAATAATTATTTAAAAAATATATATATATATACTTACTTTGTACGCAAAAGATTTATAGCAGCTGATGGTATAGTGTTAGTAGTGACTAAGACACGTGGTTTCATTGTTCGTTTGCAAAATAATTCAGTGGCAAACACTTTATAAATTGATAAAATAACAAAATTTCTTGCCTTATATAATACTATAATTTGATTGTATGCGCAAGCGCATATAATCCAATCGGAAGATAAAAAACTGATTTATAGAAAATTTGATATGTTTTGTTTTTTATAATAAACTTCTCGCTGTTAATATTTTTTATTATTTACTGATATGTATTATATATCTTATATAAAATGATAAGAAAAATTTTATATTATACATTAATGCGTTAAATAGAATTAAAAATAGGGTTATATAAGCATATTTCGAAATAACATTATTTAATATAAAATAAATAATATTATATAAATCTTAAAAAGATTTTAATATAATATTTTGTAAGTCGTGTACGTTTACTTGACGATATGTATGATCATGTTTTTATAATATTAATATATATGAAAAATAAATAATACAAATAAATAATACATTATTTATATTGTGTTATATTGTTGTTATTTATATTATTTATATCTCATTATATTTATATCAAATTAAAATATGACACGATTTAGTGAAAACCTACTTCATCATATACTTTCCTATTCATTAAAGACGCCGTTTTCTGCAAATGATAGACAAGTTAGTACGTGTTTATCAAATTATGAAAGCCGTTTTATTCTCTAGCGATTATATATGTCAATAAAATGGCAATAAAAGATGTAACAGTTGTGTATTCAGATATTAATATAATATTTTTTCAATCATGCAATTTAATGAACATTTTGAACATAAAAGATATAATATATGTAAGTATATATGTAAATACATAAAATATACATAATATATTTTATGTATAAAGATTCTTCTTTAACAATATAAACTTTTAATTATTATAAATAATAATCTTTTTTATAAAATATGTGAAATTTAATATTTTCAATAATAAATTCTCAATAATAAATAAAATATATATAAATATATATAAATAATTAAATATAATCAATAAATCTAGTTTTTTAGTTATGTATTTGGTATTTAAATAGTGATTTTTATTTGTAATATATTAAAAAATAAAAATAAAATTCAAATGATCAATTGAAATAATTATTTTATAAAAAATACTAATATATTATAAATTATAATTATTAAAAATAATAACATTCTTAGCAATCTTTATCTACAACTTACAAATTATGTATTATATTATTAATAACTAAATTTCCTTTAGTGATTTCAAAGAGTGAAGTATCAGGAAGATATGAAGAAGTATACATGTTCCCTTTCATAGCTTATATATAAGTATTTGATATATAGATATATAGAGTTATATTTAACTAGAAGTTATATAGGTATATCTCTATATATTTATAGATAATTTTTAATTGTTAAATGAGAATTTTTTTTAATAATAAAAATTGATAGAATTATATATAGTATCTATTATATATCTTATAATTTTCATACTTCAAAAATATTAAAAATAAATAATATTATTTATTGCATTAATAATAATATTTATTTTTATTTTAATTGACAAAATAATATATTTATTGTAAAAAATAAATATGGATCGGAGATACATAAGAATTTCATGTACATAAAAGAATTTATAAAATTATATAAATAATATATTCACAATAAAATAAATTAATAAAATAATTAATTTTTTTACATAATTGTGTAAAACATATTATATTTATATAATTGTGAAAAACACTTATATTTCAAAAAATTTACTTATTTTTAATATTAAGTATTTAATACTTTTTTAATACTTTCTTAAATAATAATATAACAAGAAAAAATATTTTTGGACATTAACCGCGGTATCCTGTTATGTATTATTTCATTCGATTATTAATTTTTTGTAAATAAACCACTTATTTCCTTAATATTAAATATGATTGAATATGGAAATCTTTAAAAATTATAACTTTTGTATTTAAAATATTTTTTTTTTATTTACTATATTTATTTACTATATTTATTTATATTTTATTGCTATATCAATAAAATGAATTTATCTTGATATTTTACATTATTATCGAGAGCTTATCGATATTTATGTTAATTAAGCTCATAGTTATTGTAAAGAATAGTTTACATTTAAATCTTCTGTTATCTAATCTTGGGAACAATGTCATAATCTCTTTTATATTGGTACCAATATAATAAATAAAATTAATATTTATAATTATTAATTTATAATTATACTTAATTTTAAAAATATATTCTAATATCTTTCATCTATGATAAATATAATATATAACCATGAAGTATGAAATAAGAATTTTACAGAAATAAATTATAAATATTTTTTAAATTAATATATTTGTTAAATTATATTTTAATTTTACTGTTGGTAATAATATGATTTTAAAAATATTTTCGATCTGAATTCAATAGCTCATCAATCCTTCCATCAAAACGGATGACTGATGAAAACTTATTTGAAACTGTTTTAAAAGTGTATTTATTAAAGTGTCAACGTTTCATAATTCGCGCCATGGATATTTTCATAAGAAACTTCAGAGGTTATGAAATATCGAATTCATAACAATTAAAAAGCATGCTTTATATTTAAATCCAAATTTATTTATACAAAAATAACAAATACAAAATAATTAACAAGTTTAAATATTAAAATAAAAAATGAGGTGGATGACACGACAGTTTTCGTTACCAATTTTACTCGGTATATCCTTAACAAGTGTGAGCATTGCTATATTATACGTATTATACAAAAAGGTAAGGTTGTAAAAAATTATAATTATTTAATATTTTGTTTTAATTATTTATTTAATTATACAGGATGAAGAAGATATTAAATCTAGAAAAAATCATGTTGAAATTTCAAAACGATTTACTGCAGAATGTAAAGTACCTAGACAATTCGTTCCTGCTGTTATTGGAAGAGGTGGTTCAATGATAAAAGATATACAAAATAAAACTGGAACACAAATACATTTTAAAGAAGATAATATTGATTGCCCTGATCGTATTTGCATCATAAAAGGAAGCTATGAAAGTGTACATTTAGCTGAAGAAATGATAAAATCTATAATTCAAAATCAGCCCATAATTGAAACATATGAAATGTATGTACCTCAAAGAGCATGTGGAAGAATAATAGGAAGAGGTGGTGAAGTTATACATCAAATTCAAGCAACATCTAGTGCAAAAGTTATTATTGAAAGCAGTTATACTCCTTATGATCCAAGTATGTTCTGTTTTTATAAATCCATGTTATTATGTTTTATATTTTTGATTTTATCTCTTCTAAATTTTAATAACTGCTAGTACTTTACAGATGCTGAAAGAAGAATTATTATAAAAGGAACAGCTGAACAAATTGCTACAGCTTTGTTACAAATTGAAGATAAAGTTCGAGAAGAAAAAGAAGCACGTACAAAGTTAGAGGCTTCTTCTGCTTCAAGATTGCCTAGAGGAAAATTATCTCCACGTAATACTAAAAATAATATACAATCTGAACAGGTTCAAACTACTGAATTATTACCAGGTATATAAAATATAAATAATGTTTTTTTTATAATATTATTGGATATTTTATATATTTTTATTTTTATTCCTAGTTTCTGATGGTGGAATGGAAGTATATATATCTGCAATGGAAACTCCTAGTCAATTTTGGGTACAAGTTGTAGGTCCTGGAACTACTGCACTAGATAAATTAGTATCTGATATGACTGTTTATTATAACGATGAAAAAAATCATGAATTGCATAAATTAAGAAATGTAAATATATGATTGAATATTTTAATATCTACTTATAAGAAAAATTTAACAGATGTCATTTAGTAATTGCCTTACATCATCATTTTAGATAACGCTCGGTCAAATAGTAGCAGCAAAATTCAGTTTTAATGAACAATGGTATAGAGCTGAAGTTATTTCTGCACCTGAAGATGGTCAATGTGAAGTTTATTTCGTAGATTATGGAGATCGTGAAATGGTACAGCTTGATTGCATATTGGAACTTCGAACCGATTTTCTCAGCTTAAGATTGCAAGCGATCGAATGTTCATTGGCTAATATTAAACCAAGGTAAGTTAGTTTTCAATGAAATAAATTTAATCGAATGCAAAAAAAAATGAAGAAATTTTCTAAAAAAATTTATAAAAATAATCTTTATTAAAGTTCATTCATTGAAATCAAAAATTTATAATTAATTTTGTTTATATATATAAAGAAAAGATGTCAATTGAGATGTTAATTCACTATCATTCATGTTACTTGATCTTGAACTTCCAATACCAGCTTCACAAATTTCATTAAACAATTCTGAATTTGTTTGTTCCATTATTTTCCATGCTAAACTTTTGTTAAGTACCGTTAAATTTTCCTCGCAATACGCTAAACTTGCTTTTTTAAGCGCATTGCATCCAAATTCATCTGCAATTAAAAGTCTGCTTGCTATGTTTTCTGGAGTTATTGTTTCCATAAGATTTCTTTCACAAAGTTCTTTTAATCCTAAACAAATATTTACGAATAATTTTATTAATGAATGTTAGATTTCTAAAGAATAAATTTTTCAATATTATAATATACAATACCTTGCAAAGAAAAACGTTCAGCCAATGATAAAAGTTGTGGAGCAAAATTATCCAAATTATCGACTTGATCGCTGTATATGTATCGCAAAAATTCTTCAACTACCTGTTTATTAAGATCCAACAATTCCAAGGAAAATACATAACGTTTCTAAAATATTTTAATATAAAATATGATCATCGCAAAATTTAAATATCGAATAAATAGAGTAATGAATAATGTTGAATACATACCCGTAAAAAAAACAAATTCGAGTAGAAATTCTTTTTTTTTTTT